TACACATCTAGATGTGTATAAGAGACAGCTCTCTCTCTCTCTCCATTCATCCACACAGACACAGACACACTCTGGCACAGTCATCTCTCTCTCTCTCTCTCTCTCTCTCTCTCTCTCTCTCTCTCTCTCTCTCTCTCTCCATTCATCCACACAGACACAGACACACTCTGGGACAGTCATGCTTGCTTTGAGATTATAGGGAATGGGACAACACACACCCATACACGGAGTACACTGCCTTGCCTTCCCATGTTTCCAATTTATTTATTATTAATTGTGGTGTAAGGTGAGTGTGCATAATTGTCATGGCATGGGGTTGCGTCGGGTGTGAAAGCCGTACATATACGTTCTTATAACTGTGTGCCTGCCTGCTACTAGTGTTACAGTACAGATGAACTTTGGAGTCTTTCAGCGAGGGCGAATTTCCGACTGCTAATGCTTCCCATTTGGAGTCTGTACTGGAAATTCGCGGTCGCTGAAAGACGATCTGCTGCCTTTGCGGGCATGACTGAGCAGTAGCCTTGTTGCGGAAAGAGGATTTGGGGTCGGCGCGAAGCCTGAGCGGAAGCGGGAGAAGCAGGCGGAGAGGGGCGGAGGAGCCGGAGTGTGCGGAGCAGGCGAGGGAGGAGGGAGAAGGCGGGGCAAGCAAAGCAGCGCTCACCGTGGGCGGGCGTCGGAACGAGTCTTGGTAGAGGAGGACAAAGGAGCGTTGTTCGCTCGAGAGAGAGAGAGAGAGAGAGAGAGAGAGAGAGAGAGAGAGAGAGAGAGAGAGAGAGAGAGAGAGAGAGAGAGAGAATGGTGTTCGATGATAATGATGATAAGAAGAACCTGGACGTCAGACCGGGCGGGGTCAGCGAGCAGCAGCTGGATGAGTTTTTTGCTGTGGGACTGGGAGGGCTGATGGGCGCAATGGCGCTCTATATGCTTTACATTGTAGGCCTCGTGTGAAATCCAGTCGATTTCATTCGATGGATTCATTACCCCCCTTCCCCCTCCCCCTCCCCCTCTATTTGGTTCAAACTGGACCCTTTGGAATACTCTCCTTCCTCTTCGCCCTCCCACTCCTCTACCTCCATCGCCCGCCGTCTGCTTCTTCTTCTTTTTCTTCTTCTTCTTCCTCCTCCTCGTCCACCTCCATCGCCCCCTTCTTCTTCTTCTTCTTCTTCTTCTCCTTCTTCTTCCTCCTCCTTCTTTCGTCTCATTAATGTTTTTTTTCTTGTTTCGTCTCATTAATGACGAGACAGCTCGAAAATTTGTATTCTTAATGATTGTTTTCGTTGTTTGCGTGTGCTCTTTTTTCTATTTCTTCGTCAGAATCTTTCTATTTCTGTATCGTTTTTTTTTTTTTTTTTTTTTAATATTTTAATGCTTCGAATTCTTTGAGTTATATTTATTTTAATTCTTTTAATTCTACCTCAACTCACGGCTGGCAATGTCATTTTCCTTCCTTTTATTTTTCTGTATTTGCACAGCTCGTTTTTTCTTTCGATAGGAAACGTTTCAGAATCTTTTTTTATTTTATCAAACGGCTCGAAAGGAAAAAAGAGAGAAACTTTTTGTTTGAGGAAAATGAAGATCGTCCTTCATCGGACCACTCTGAGGGAGTCTTTCCCCCCTCCCCCCTCCTCCCCCCCCCTTAAATTTTTTATCGGGAGCGTTATGCGTCTTGGCGTTGGATATATTTGATTTACAGTTTGCCGAGGGCTAAGTCCCACTCGCAGGGTTGAGTTTGCTCAACGGAATGAATGTGGACGTGTTTGAGGAGACATGCAGAAGTTGTGTTGTGTTTTCTCAACGGCACATCTCCACAAACACGTCCAGATTCATTGCGGTGGGGAAACTCAGCGCTGCTGCAGTAGTGGGACTTGGCACCTGGAAATGGGCCTGGCGTCCCGTTCCGTCCGGGGGCAAGGTCCCACTTGCGCAAGTTAGGAGATTTGGGCCGTCGATCTTTGCTATCTACGGTCAGTATCTCTTGATTCGTGCAAGTGGGACCTAGCCAGGGTGGCGGCCACGGCCATGGGGAAGGCGTCAATATCCTTTTTTTGTTTTGTTTTTTTGATCGAAGGCAGTTTTTTCTTTTTTTCCTTGATTTTATTATTTATTTATTTAAGTATGTGTAAGCATCAGCTCGGGATGCACCACTCGGGGGAGCCGATAAAAAAAAAGGAAAAAAAGGAAAAAAAGAAAGGTAAAGACTTTAAAGAGTGAGATTTTTTTTTATTTTTATTTTTTTGGATCTGTTTGGTCTCTACGACGTTAGCAGGGGGCAAGTCCCACTAGCAGCGTTAAGCTACCTCAACGCCTGAATCTGGACGCTTTTGCGGAGATATGCAGAAATGGTGTTGAGTTTCCTGAACTGCACGTCTCCACAAACTCCTCCAGATTCAGGCGTTGAGGTAGCTCAACGCTGCTGTAGTGGGACTTGGCCCCAGGCTGTATGCTTTTGTTTTCCGTGTTTTTTTTTTCCGTGTTTTTTTCCCGTGTTTTTTTTTTTCCCGTTTGTTTTCTCAAAAATGGTCTCGTCCTTCCTCGTTTTTTTTTTTTCAATTATTACTAGTATTATTGTTATGGTCTTGTCTGTTCGTTCTTTCGTCGACGGCGGAATGGGGTGCGGGGAGACCCCCGTTACGTGGATGGATTAAAATGAGGGAATTCTGGCCATCGTTGACCTTCCTTACTCTCTTTTCTTTCTTTTTTCTTTTTTTTCCCTTTTGTTTAATAAGATCTTCCTTATTATCTACGGCCATGCAAATGCTTTTTTTTTTTTTTTTTTCTGGAAGGGACGAGTAGGCAAAGCCTACCACCATTTATTTTTATTTTTGTTTTTATTTTCGAAATTTTTGGCCCATTTCTCGATGTATGCGTGTCATCCTTGAAAGCGCAGGGGCCATGCTAATTACCTTCTCTGTATCGTTCCAATTTTAACGGATGTCCCGAAGGGCACCACCATTTTCTTTGTTGCACGAAGAACACCTTGTGATTTTTATTTTTATTTTTCCGTTTTTTAATACAGAACAGCTCGGTTTTCCGTCACGTTGCACCAGGAAGGAAGATGTTACTGGCCGGGATTGCGACCAGGTGCACCTCCCTTAGCACCCTGCAGACCTGCAGGCCTCTGACCATGGCTGCTGGTGGAGCTTCATCGATTAGTGCGGAGGTGCACCTGGTCGCAATCCCGGCCATCATCAAGCGCCTTGTCGTCAAGATCGAGGCATAAGGTGGGCGAGAACCACCGTCGACGACTGTGTACTTTATCAGGATCTGTTCTGTAGGTGGTACCACTTTTCTGTATCTACGGATACAGAGAACCACCGTCTTCCCCGAACAACACACCCTGATAACGAATGTATACAAGCTATGATTCCGGTCCGGTGCAGCCAAAATGAGGGTGCGTTGTGTTCGGGGGAATACGGTAGCCAGCTACGAGGG